CATCATCATCATCATCATCATCATCATCATCATCATCATCATCATCATCATCATCATCATCGTGGGATATTGGATGGGGAACGGTCGTCGGACCATGCCATCCAGAATTGTTGGGGTCGCGAAAGTAATCTTTTTTTTCGCGAAGAGGCACTTTCCAGATGAAAGGAATTTAGATCAACCACCAATAACCACCATATGATTTCTAGGTGCAAGAATAGCATCACATAGCAGCATAGCAACCGGTAGATTATATCTCTCTACTAGGTGGAGTATTCTAGAATGGGGGAACGTCAACCTTGAGAACGGATCACTTCTGGCACTGGCAGTTCTCCGCGGCTTTGGAAGGACCCAGATGGGGCCCTGCACCAGATCGCTGAAGCGCGCAAGAGTCACAGGACGGGGCTGCGTGAGCGAGCCCAAGCCAGCTCCTGCAGCCACAACACTCGTGGGTTCAGTTCTATGTTGTTCTTTCTGAGCTTCACAGAATGAGTTTTCCTGACCACAGCAAAACAATGGTAAACTGTAATTATATAACGATAATATATGATATTATATGTTATTCATGTATTTCTTTTGATTAAACCATGGTAAACTCATTGCAAGCCCAACAAGAAGCTTGTGTGAAGAGCTTGATCAGGAACTTCGACCAACTCTGCTCATTCGGGAAAGACAGCATCGTGAAAGGCGTTTTTTTCTGCGAAAATAATAGAAGTCACATACTTTTTCTGCACTGCTGCACGATGCTTTGCACCATTATCCATACTTCCAGAGACATATATTTGCCAATTTTTTTCCTGTCATATGTGCACATGTTTGGTTCCTCAGAGTGGGCTGATAGGCCAATGTGATGACCTGGTGGACAAGCTCAAATCCGTTCCTGACTTGGACATCACATTGGCACAGGCAGGATCAAGATTGGGCCAAGTTGACAACACCATCTGAAGAGCCGAGAGTTGGCAGCTGAAGGACTCTTAGGAGTGATGGACCTTGTTGGTACAGCTAGGCACTTGCGTCAGTGAACCTTGATATTGCTATTTATTTGATACTTGGTGCTACTTAGTCGTTTGGAGGCATGGCAGCTGGTTGAACTCCTGGCCAAGGAAATCGTCAATCCTGTCAGTGGATCGCAGATAGTTTTAATTTGTAGGGAAATGGATTGCTTGGTGCACTGGGAGAGGAATACCAGAGGCTGAGCAGTACAACATCCATGCCTCATGCTAAAGAATATACCGCAAAAACATGCAAAAACCAAGTGCTCTAGAGTATACTGGTAGTTTTCTGCAAAACGCTTGAGATCGCTTGAGTTGAGTCCGCGAAAATCAAGCCATGGATAATTGAACAGAACACTTTAAAATGCTTTGTATAGCACTTCTTGGGGTTATACTTCTAGGGCCTCTCCGGGGATAGAGCCCTGAATGCAGTTCAGTTATCATGTAACATTAACTCGAACATACACGATTTGATACGATATGGAGTCCCGCCCGGGAATTGCAGGAGGTCGAAGTGGGGCTTGGTGATCGAGGTGCAACACTTGGAGAAGAACACAGTCTCACAATTTGCCAAGGATAGGTCAAAAAGAAGCAACCAAGAATACAGTACGACCATTCGCCAAGATTGATATACTACAAGCTGTTACATCGAAGATTGACCAATCAGTTGCTGGAACCTGAAAGCATCTGAAAAGCATAATAAATTGCAAATCCATTTTTGGTGTTTGTCGCAGGTAAGACGCCCACAGCAGGCCAATGTACAAGTCATTCAAGCATAGAAACTAATTAAGAAGCTCCAAACTTTCTTGCTGGCAAACCGAGTTGAAACGGTGGCACTGTGGTAATTGATGTGGCACTCATGTGGCACGGATCGGCCAGGTTCAACTGAGTCGCCGAGTGGTGAGTTGGCACCTGATTTCTTCCCTGTCACACTCTTGCTCACAATGAATGGACAAAAACATGGACAGCTGTTTTCGCCTATGGCTTCTTCGTTTCGGATGGACCGAGACCGGCAAGTCGGTCTCGCGAGGTCCCAGCTTCAGAGCCAGGCGGAGAGACGGGGCAGATGTAGACACTGGCAGTTGCTTCCAGGGTCCAAAACGAAGTTGCTGGACTTACTATAAGTTATCTATGAGTCTATGAGTTTTGGCTATCGCATTGCAGGCGAGCAATGCTTAAGTTAGTTGATTCACATTATTATTGGTGTGCATTGGTTTTAAAGATCCACACAGTCGCAGTCAGTTCGTACGAGCCAGGCACAGGGGGCCACTCCGGAGCGTCGAGCCTGGGTCCTGAACTCAGCAGCTCAGGGCGAGTATTCAAGATGTTGGTCGCCTTTGCACCTCAACCTTTTGGCCTTTAATGCTGTTTCATGACTTCATGACTTCCACAGTTAAAACACATTTAACCAATTGTTTAATCTCGACATGGGTGGACACCTGTTGAAACACGGGTACAAGGTAGCGACACCTACGCCTTCCACAGCTACGCCTTCCAGTGAGCGACGGCAATGGACCTCTCCTTCACCAGCGACACCGGCGGCGGCGCCACCTGCCGTGCCTAAGGCAGAGGCAGCCGATAAAGGCGCGAAGCAACATGAAACCATAACTGCCTTGCAAACACGGCAGGCTGCTCCCCTTTAAATATGATTCATATAGCTTGTGTCCCTTTTTGCTTGCAGTAAATCCTTGTGCATCCCTGCTGCAGGCAAGAAGTTGTTGCTTCACAAGCACGAGATGATAGATTTCAACCAGCTGCACTCTCAGCCAGCACAGCCTCACAGCATCCTCACCATTATAAAAGCTCGATCTTCGTGGTAACACTCTGTGACCGGTCTTGTGGGCAACCGCCCCGACCAGGTTGGTCCAAAGGGACTGCTTGGGTTCCGGCGGCTTTGGAGCGGTCTATCGCGGCTATTTGGGCAGCCGGGAGGCGCGATCGCCGGAGCCGGGACGGCCACAGATCAGTTCGGCAATCTGTTCGTGCCGTGACCACGGAGCGTAAGCCAACCGACCCCACGACGGCTGTCCGTTGGCTTGGGGATGCTGAAATTGTTGGAGCACAGGTTGCAATCAAGAAGCTATTTTGTGAAGATGGAGGCGTGAAGGATGCTTGTTGCGTTTAGGTTCTTTCGTCAGATCATGTTCATCTAAGCAGACTTGTTGAACACAAGTCGCAGAAGTCATGTTATTTAAGATTGTTTGAGTCATGATCTTCCATTGAGGCAACATCTCTCCTTTGCAACTCGAAGAGCTGGAAAAGGAGGTTGCCGCCCTTCGTAGTGCCTTGCTTGAAACGCAGCGTACTGTCAATGTTGTGGAACAAGGGGTCGGTCTCAACACACCTGGCAATGCTTGGTGAATTACGTCTCCCTTTTGACACGTTTAACATATTTTTACGATGTTTGATGGTTTTGTGTCGGCTTTTCATCTCATGTCATTTGTGCTTGAGGCTTGAATCACCCTCGCCTTGTGAGCTTCATTGGGGCGCTGCTGCCTTGGAGTTTGATGACTCTGCAGACTATGCTGCGCAGCGGGACTCTCCGTAACGGCTGAGGTGCTTGCAACCTCCAAATATTTGTATTGTCACTGAGTTCTGAGCTCAGTTATTGGTAGACATGGTCTTACTTGTTGCGAGACATTTTTATGGCGACTTGCTCAAAGTTTGCTTTGGGCAAACCACTTGTGTCACTCCGTTACTCCAGTATCCTTTCAGGCCTGCTTTGAATTAGAGCCTGGGTGATGCTGCAATGCTGCAATGCCAGTAGCCGTTGTTTCCTTCAACAGACTTGTCACATCAGGTCAGATTCCAATTTTGCTCATGCAATGACTTACAACAAATCATGAGTCAACTGAGTCAACTCATGTGTTTGCCCAAGTATGCCCTGCAGTTGTAGCCTTCTTGTGACGTCATGCACTAACTTGCACTGAGTTGTCTTTTTCCAAGAGACCAAGTTTTTCCGACCCCTGCACACCACCTGGCGAAGCCATGTCTTTGGTGGAGCTTGTTGGAGATAACGACCTTGCTGGGGTTGATCGCTATCTGCAGAGAGCTCACAAGGAGAGAGGGAAGGCCGGGAGCTGAGAAGGGAAGAGTTGCAGAGCTTGAATATCGATTTGGAAGGCGTGTTCGAGGTCCTGCATTATATTAGATTCTATAAATATATATATAGTTAAACTATATATTATACTATAAACTTGAGGACACAAAACATATTCATTATATAGATTCAAACTGAAATGAATCCAAGAAGGGCCAGGCACGAGATCCTGCTTTCTGACGAGGCAGCTCTACTGAATGAGATCATCACCTGCGAACATGAGGCAAGACGCGATTGCCGCGTTACAGCACGGGGGAGATTCTCAGTCGATTACAGTGACTGCTCAAGGATGCAAAGGTAAGACTACTCAACAATCCACTGTTTTTTTTTTGCCTAGTAGTCCATTTACATGTTTGCTTTGGGGGTTTGCTCAAATTGTTGAGCAATAGACAACAGCTCAAATGAGTGATCCTGACGCCACCGCCATGCTCCCTTTCTCTTCAGGAAAGGAGCAACAGAGCAACGGAGGAAGGTCCATCATCTCCAAAAAACATTATGGAGGTTCAAATGTGGGGTTGAAGGCTCTTCAGCCCTTCTTGCAGGATATGAGACATTGACAAGACCTACGTTCTTATTTTTTCCCTGGATCTCTTGGGGATCGGTCATGGTCGGTTAACAAATTGTGTCCTTGCCACTCTAAACCAATCTCTTGCCAACTCCTTGCCACACTAGATTCTTAGGTTTTGTCCAATCCTGAAGATGGTCTTGTTCATCTGTGAAAGCTCGAACTCCATTCCTGTAGATTGGAGGTTGCACCACCCTCACCAAGACCTGGAGAGATGCGAACTCCGCCAGGGACGCAATGCGAAGTCCGCCATTCATCGTGCAGCCATGCGGGGGAGAGCACTGATTTTGCAGCGATTCTTGAAGGAGGAGGTGGGGTAGAAAGCTTTTGGGTCACTCAAACGGTCAAAGAAGTGTCAGTTTGATGATGTTTGACATTGTTTGACATGTTTTTGAGAAGAAACAAGGAAGTCTTCAAGACTGGCAAACTTTGGTTTCCAGGACAGGGAGTCTTATATAAGAAGATAATTAGGAGTGGTAAGAACTGCTGTGAAGGTCAGCCCAGACGTCTTCGACGATCAGGGCAACACACCTTTGATGCTTGGGCTAAAGCACTGACAAGCCAGTGCGATCTGATCCGATATTTGCATGTATAAATAAGCAAGGGTGACCAGAATGAACACAGACAAAGCCCATTGCTTGAGGCTTGAGGTTTAATAAGCTTGCAGTTTGATGATTTTGATGCCTTGTCCCAGGCATTTAGCTTGTGATTTGGGCAGAGCACGTGCAGTCAAATGCCTGTTGGAGGCTTGATGGGTTTGATTCTGTGCAGGAGCACATGTCACTGAGACCTTCATCACCTCTTCAGACAAAGTTCACAGGATTTCTGTAAAAGCAAACAATCAACATCAATCAACAAAAACTTTGGAGCGAGAACTTCACTGCAGATCTCCAGGCCGGTGCCTCAGCTGAGATTCGGAATTGCTTTGGAAGAACGCCAAAGGCAACGGGGCCTTTCGCCGAATTGGACGGAAGAAGACCATCCGAAACGGCTCGGCGTTTCAGCCATCGACTCGTGGTTTTTCTGGAAGCTCAGAGTGGGAACGCTCCATCAACATTCACGGCTCAAATCGGATGGTTTTCAGCATCTCATGAAGGGTAGTCCAATGTAGTCAATGTCTTGCTTCCTGGAACTGCCAAACACATACAGGCCTAGCGCCCTTTGGTCCTGAGCATCCAAACACGCCCCACCTGGCCCGCCACACCCTCGCCTCGCCACACGGCCTCGCACGGCCTCACGCACGTTGCAGGATATGTCCGTCACCAATGGGTGGGATGCAAAGGAAACTGCTGATGGGAAAGTCTTCATCAGAAGGCCTGGCGGAGGACGTTAGATGTTGTGATGGTTGGACATGTGAGGGGAGTTGAGTTTCAATTCCAAGCGGATAGGTTGACATTGGTTTGTTCGTTGTGCAAGATAGAGACTCACTTTCAGACCATCCAGGCATTTTATCCGAATGATAGATATGGCAGATGGGGCATAGCTCATATGCGAGTTTTGTTTTGACTGACCTGCTAAAGTGCTTGTACTATACTATATACACCTTCAGGATCATTCAGATGACTTGGACCATTGGAGACTCTAAAGGACGCTGCATTGGAACTGAGGATGCTGGGAGGGGAGAAAGTCGCCCTGGAAGAGCTCCCTCCTGAACCATTCAGCCAGGCTGGCGTGAAGTTGGTGACGGATGCGGTGATTCTTCACGTTTGCACTGCTGTTTCAACAAAACTTCCGGCTGGCACAAACCACATGCAGGCGCTTGGAGCGAAAAGCCAACATTTGCCCGAAGCTGGAAGGTGGCTTGCCGCATATGAGCTGCATTCGACTGCCAATGACCATCCGGCCCAAAATTGCAATGTTCCCTTTTTTGTTCAATCCCAGACCCACCTTGTTTGAGGACTGGTAGTGATGCATAATGGTAAAATGTTGTGACTATGAAGAAGTCCCATATGATCCAACTCTTGTGTGGCTTGAACTACCGCAGTTCATGGAAATTCTCGTTCGATGTTCTGATTGAACATCCAGGGCAGAGGGCCACTCATGATTGCTGCAGAAGCTTGCAGGTCGCTGTCAGATGCTTCAGCAGAAAGTATACCTATGGAGGAACTCGAGGAAGCACGTACCAGTGTTCCGCCATCCAGCCAGGTCCACGCGTGCATGGGGTGCGGGTGAAGGAGTGCAATCAAAGAACACGAACAACACAGTAAGGCACTTGTTACTAGTAGCGATGCACTTGTTACTACTAGTAAGGCACCTGTTACTACTAGCGTGGCACCTGTTACTACTAGACGTGGTTTTCCACTCTTATGAGGTAATTCTTTTAGCGGTGTAATTTGCAATGTCGTTTTATACGTGCTTGAAGCATGCGGAAAGCGTGTCATGTTTAATGAATACATTTCACTAGCCAAAATGGAGCTAGCTGTGATTTTGAGCCTGCATTCATGTGTTCAAGAAACCAAACCGCCATTCAAAAAGGAGCGAGTCTTGCTGCTGCTTGTAGTTGGACTTAATGTTTCAGTTAATTTTTAGATATTCTGAGCAGCTTGGTTGTTGCGCTGAAAACACACTTGACATGGGCATTGTTCGGTTCCATCGCCTAACAATCCACTTTTGAGGGTTCCACCACCTACAGTTTTGGAGTCCACAAGTCATGCTGAGTCTTCATCGTCCTTCCGCGACGAAGGCCCTGGCGCAAAGACCTTACGCCACTTCGCCCGTGAAGCAGCGAGAGAGTTTTGACATGACAGCACCCCGGCACATTTGGTGAACTTCATGGGCAAACTGTTCTGTGGACTTTTGTGAGATGGGACGAGTGTGTGTGGGGGGGGCCTTTTTCTCATGCCAACCTTATTTGCTCTTCAAGCTGGTTGCGACATTCTGGGTGAGGTCCTGCAGCTCGAGCAAGATGTTGCAGTCATCGTCTCAGAGGTGAAGACATAGGCATTAGAATCACTTTTATGATTTTTATGATGCTTCTGTTTTGCCTTTCTGGCTTGATGGATGAAAGAGCATCACTTAGTCAAAAGGGGCGAAGTAAAGGGCGTTAAGTGTCAACCGAACTTAAGTGTCCAATTGTGACCTGATCCAACCTGCAAGTTGAACTTCTGAAACGGATGACCTTCCGAGTGGTCTGTCTCTTTCGAAGCCAAGACTGCTCCACGCAAAGCCTCAAGGCTGAGCTTCCCGCTGAGTGCCAGAACAAGTCCCATGTCACACCGCCTGTGGAGCAAGCAGTCAGGAACTTGGTTCAGCTAGTCACACGCTGTGTATGACATGACTGACTCAAGACCGTATTCACTGCTAATTAGGTCGTTTCTTGGAACGCATTGGGTAAAGTATTTGTGCATCATTCATACAGCCTCAACGTCAGAATTGATGCAGTGCCGCGTGTGCGAAAAAATCTCTCCTAGTAGCTTCCTTGCTCCTAGTAGTAAGGCCAGGAGCCCCTAGTAGCGTCCTTGCTCCTAGTAGCGATGCCAGGAGCCCCTACTAGCGAACATTGTTCCTAAGACAATCCCCAAATCAATCAGGTGAGCTACGACAACATGTCAGACTTCGACTTTGTCACCAAGGCCGAGAAATGGATTCAGTGGTTTTTGCAGGGAGGTCTTCCCATTCAGTCTGAAGACTTTCTTCTTAGGGATTTGGACGGATTTGAATGTTTCCAGGTGGATCTGAAGGCTTTGGTGAGGAGGTCAGATGAAGCAGCTGTGCGACGATGGCTGCAGTGTGTGGCGAGCAAGTCCGTGCATGAGTTTCTTTGGCCCGGCCTGTACGAGTCCTAGCAAGGTGAAGCAAGGAGATGGAAGGATGGTATGATACAGTGAAAAGTCCCGGACATGTAGATGCGTCTTTCTTTGGCGGCTGCTTTGGGCCAACTTGCATTCGACATGTGTGCCAAAAAACCTTCAAATGGTCATATCGGATTGCCTTGAAAGCACAGAAGCAACCATGTCTTTGTGTGCTTCAAGTGATGCTAGCAAGTCCTGAGGCCGCTGCAGACTGGGCTTACTGCCTTTATCGGCAGCGGTGAGCATGCAGACAACGGTGAAGATACTCGCGTTGCATTGTCACTCAGATGCATTCCCTATGTAGACTGAGACGTTTAGGTTTATAGCTCTGACAGGAATCCTGAGGTTCACGCAGGAGTTAGGGGTCATACTATGCCTTACTTCACTTCCTCTGAAGTTTCCAAACCGATACAACTGGTGAATTTGCACCACGTTTCGAAACAGTAAGAAGACGATGCTGGCGATATCAAACATAACACGCCTTGTTATGTTGACACTGTCAAGCCACCAGGTCGGCCCTGCACATCGCAGCGCTGCGGGGCAACGTGACCATTCTAAGAATGCTGCTGGAAACAAGACGCATGGAACAAGATTTGATGGTGGAGCTGCCTAGGATCTTATGGTAGGTCTTGTGGATGTTTGAAGGTGTTGTGGATCTTTCTACCATTAGGAACGAAGGCATAGAGTAGAAGAAAGCCAGAAGCATCCAGGGTCCATGGTGGGAATGGTTATATATATATACAATATAGTTATTGCTTTATTGATTCGATTGTGCTAGTTTTGAACAGTGGAAACGTTGTGCACCCAGGAGTGAATCTCAACATAACCAACGATCAAGGACCGACTGCTGCTGTACACATGAGCAAGATGCAAAACAATTCGTGTTCATTTTTAGTAAGGGGCCGAGATAACTCTGCATGATATTTTTGGCACCTGAAACAGGCATGCATGCAAGTTTAGTGGGAACGATAAGCATGCAAAACTAGCGCAATCCACTGGAAGCATGTCATGCTTTGCAGTTTTGATATACGGCAATTCTTGTAATTGCTTCCTGACAAAGCAGCCTGAGATGTTGCCGATCCGTGCTTTTGTCATTGATGGGAGCAGACCGGTGTGTGACCATCACACAGGTCAGTAGTGGGACTGCAGGCTACCACATGGCCATGTCATTGGATGGCTTCAAGATGGTGCTCTAGATTATATAAGTATCAGTATATTTATAAATAAATTCTTTTTGACCCTGTCCAGCCCTAAAGATTGCAAAGGGCTGCAGCCGCTGGGAACCCGATTGCCGGGATTCCCCCCGTAGCTTCCTCCTTTCCCAGTCGCAGATGATGCATGTTTGGGAAGTGGTTTGGTCATATACGTTTGGCTGAGACAATGCCAGTGCGCACTGAAGGCAAGCTCCCTGATCCACCGAAAACACCAGCGGCTCAGAGCCAGGAAGCACGCCACTTCACTTCGCTGTGGATGTTGACCGGCCCGAGTCAGCTCAACTTCTCCTGTACTTTGGAGGCATTTGCTATCGATTACTGAGACTGTTGGAATTCTTGTAGAACCATGACAAACCAAACCAACTGCTCTATCCCTCTCATGGAAGCAGTCTGATTCATGTTGATAAACATGTGGACCACACTGTCGTTGTTTTTCGGACGGTGGTGTTGATGTATTTTATGGTGTTCTTCTTTGACCCAGGAAATGTAAGGCCAACCCACACATCCGGAATAACTTTGGACGCACGCCCTATGAGATGCGAGATGGTGTTGGGCTCAGCTACTGTAGTTAGGCCAGCTAGGCCAACTGGGGTTTTCCAGCAAGGTTAGTCAAGGTGAATCCAGCAGAGCTGTCGTTTGATGTGGGAATGTGGGCCTCATCATTGTGAGTTGCTCAGGACGAGGGGAACATGTTGTCCCTGGCCATACTGAGAGGCAACAGCTCCACATGTTTGCTTTACAGCATTGCAGACCGTGACAGATCGCTCAATTACACACTAGCACAAGAGGCCACTTATTGCAGTAGTTGTTGAGACCTGGTGTACTTTGGCATGCCCGTGCCAGTGCAGGTTTCTCAGACATTTGACAGCCGTTTGCCAGGATGGTCACAATTATTTTTCGCTCCACTATGCACATAAGCGACAAGGACAGGCCCGCAGAGACGTGTAGATTTGGACTTCGAATTGGCCAAAGGGAAGCTCGACTCCAGAAGGATTGCTTATGAAGACCGTTGAAAATCAGGCTAGAATCCAAACATTCATGACTATTTAGATACATAGATATAGATAGATACAGTACTTAAACGTACTGTACATCGACAAATCTGGAGTAGCAGCTATAATAGCCGCTGCTTTTTTGATGCATGTAGTGGACCCGGATGGGGCATCCGGTGAGAAACAACTCAATGTCAGAGGAGTGCAGCGTGTGTCAAGAAGAGTTTCGAGAAGGTGATGCCCTTCGCGTTCTTCCATGCCTGCATAAGGCTGGAGATTCTACTCTTGCTCATTTTCTTCCATGTTTGAAGAGAGGACGCCTCTCTTAAGACGTGTTGACAAGCTTCAACAGCGCCATGCATTGACACTGTACCGTTGATACCAGGATCCGACAAAGCATCCGTACATGTACTTTAGTCATGAGCCGACTTAACTACTTCTGAATTGATCAACACCTTGCGAAACCGATAGGGGCTAACCCACTATACCGGACCGATACCCTTTCTTGATTGAAAGTAGCTCATTGCCGGCATCCCAAAAAAGCTGGAAAATGATAGGGGCCAACCCAAAATACTTTTGGCATTGGGACGCGAGGAAGTTTTGTCCGCATTTGCCTGATTGCTTTCTCACCGGCCGCTGATCGACGTCATCAGCTTGGCATTTTACAAGATTTGACGAGTGTTGTGACCCCAGAAAGGACCATCAATCCATTTTGTGCTTCTACATCTTTACCGGCTTCTGAGCTGTTGCCCTGTCAGTATCACGCCTTTTGCATCGACCAGTGGCTGGCAAAGAGTCTCACAAGGACTTGTCCATCTTGTATGCATTGTGGCTTGCAGCAATGAGAAAACATGAGAAAACCGTTCTGAACCGTCAGTCGTTTGATTCGTTTGACGGTCATTCGACCCCGAGTCGAATGCCAAGGTGTGGATCAATATGAGTTTGAAGAGCTGGATCCCTCGGTGGCATGGGCTTCTGGCTATGGAACGTGAGAGAAACCAAGACTCAGCGAACGATGGCTCTATATTGGGCTGGCTCTGACAGAGAGTGAACCCTGTGCCAAACCTGGGGCATGCCCAGCCATGCCCAGCCAGTATTGTAGGTTGATCCTGGAGATGCAGATTCCGGCTTTGTGCTGTTTTGTCTGAGACTTTCACGTAAAGAGACCAGTTTGAAGCCGAAAAGACCAGTTTGAAGCCGAAACTGTGCTGCTGGGATCGTTTTCCGTGTCCTACGGAAGAAACCATGCATCTGAATTGTTTGACGCGAAAACAGACAGATGAGTCACATCAGAAGCACAGATCATGTTTCCGGTCTTCGTTGGCTTGAAGACTGTGAACATAAACAATCCCGACCCACATCCCCAACTCTGTTTCAATTCCACCACAGTGAGGTTTATGGCCGGCGGTTCTTTGCACCACTTGCTGCACAAGGTGGGATGCCGATCAGGAGTATATACATCCTTGATCATCCTTGCTAGATCCTCTCGACTGTTTTGGCAGCTGCTTTTTTTTGCCAAAAGTTCAGGCAAGGACTCCTTTGACGCTGGGGACGCAGTCCAAGATGGCTCTCCAGGCAGGCATAATTCGTTGCTAAACTTTTCTCACAAATTTATTCTTGTGCACTGAAAAGATCTGAAAAGTGTGGCTAGCGCAGGCGGGGGCACTTTCCATATCATATCGTATCCATTCTGCCCGTTGTGTTTCCTTACGTCGTTGCTGTGGAACCGATGGATTCACATGGATTCACCGTTCCAGCCGGCTCTCGATCGCAGTGGCTCTCGCCACCTGTGATGCTTTCGCCAGGTTTGTGAAGGCGTCGATTTTCTCCATGGCCATTCCCCACCCGTGGTGCATCGAGACTTGAAGTCGTCGAGTCCCCGAAGTCAACCGGGACGAATTGTTCCTTCGTTTCATGTTGTCCATGTTTTATTTTAGTCTACCACTGAGACGATTCATTTGTCTCAGTATGCAAACATGATCAAACATGTGTATGTGCGCGTCGTATTGATCAGGATTTTATAGTTATGGAATCGGAATCGATGTTATTGAAATAACTGTTATTGTTTTATATTGTCCACAAACGTCTGAAGAATTGGTGCCTTTGTTCTGCATATAGTTGTTCTTTCCTCTGCAGCACAAGGCTGAACATTGTGCTGGATCGCATCTACAATGCTAAGATTTGCGACTTTGGCTTGACGCAGCCCGAGATCCCAGAGATCACAGGTGATCCATGTGACCAACTTGTCCTTGCAGTTGTCCTTGCATATCCTTGGGTGATGCTTATGGTTATGCTGAGTTCCTTCAAGCTCCTTCTGAGTGTTGTTCACGTAATCAAGACCACTTCCTTTGAGCCCTGTGTGAATGAACATGCGTGGCCGCTCAGTGATGGTCCAAAGCAACTTCAAGCCAATTCCCATTGGGGGTCTCATCAATGCACATCTCATCGCGGCTCCTTGATCGCTGCGCTGCCAGCCCAACATGGGGCTGGCCGACCGCTGCACCAGGTCGATGGAAAAGACGCACATCACCTTGAAGGAGGGTGGCAATGGAGGTTCCCCGCGCTACATGGCGTTCGGACCGCCAATTTGCTCCGCCATAGTGGCCGCGACGGGAGAGTGAGGGAGGACACATGGGAGTGTGTGGGAGGTGCGAAAGGATTGATTGTTTGAGAGCAGTTGGAGACCACTAGATTCACTAGATGTCTCATTTCAACTGAGCATTTTTCAGAAATGTTCAGAGACCGCCAAGGCCGGAGTGCTACGACTGCAAAGGCAAAATCACCGAGAAGGTGGGAAGACGTTCTGTTTGTTTTTACTTGTTTTTACCCAATCATCGATGCACTTTCCAGAAATGGTTTTAGCTTCGCTGAATTTGCAGGTTGATGTTTGGGCTCTTGGCCTGGTGCCCAGAGGGCTTCCTGATTCTTTGTGTGAATGGACAAAAGGCTTGGCGAATGCAGGATGATGCAGGATGAGACAAGGCTAGGAGCTAGAAGCAATTGAAGTTGAAGCACGAAAGCTTTTAATGCGTGCATTTTGTGTCAAGTGACATCAAGTGTTGTAATGCCTCCAACCTAATAGAAATGCTCCAATTTAGAAGCGATGGCTTCCAGCCTAATAGCAATTTCTCATTTGGTGCAGAGAAGAGTCGGAATTTCTTGAGGCTGTATCCTTGTTGAATGCTTTGGCGGACCGTTGCCATATGACGACTGCCAGAACATCCAGCAAATCGTTGCAAAGGTTCCCCGGTGTCCGGCGTTTGTCAAATACCTATGCCAGTAGCTTCTAGCTACTAGTGGCGATGCACTTGTTACCACTAGATGCACTTGTTATTAGTAGCGATGCCCACTATTGTTAAATTACAATGAAGAGATGTGTACAGGATGTCCCTGCATGTCTTACTCCTTTTTCCGCCTTTGTCACCCACGCTTTGTATGACATTCGTCATTCCTTCAGGATTGCCAACACATCATAGAAGATTCAGAATTGAACCATTCTGCCAGAGTGAGAGTTAGCATACCTCAAAACAAAAGAACAAGCTGCAGCATGTTTTGATATGAACGCACTTGTTTAGCAGACAGGTGGAACACACATTGGCACCCACTGTGCGGCCGCTGCACAATCAAGCCAATTCCAAACATTAGCTTCAGTTTTGATGACTCTATATACTCTCTACAGCAAGTCCTTTCTGATGCTGTGGTTCACATAGCTGATTTGACTAGCTGATTTGGATTATAAAATTTGGATTGGTTATGATTTGTTTTTATTCAATAGCCTTTGCAAGTCGCAGGTCCTGATCGACAAGGAGCTGCCTTACATTCCCAATCATCTTCCCTCCGGCGTGCGGCCGATTGTGACGCTGCCACAGTTTTGGGAGCTGAGGGACTACGGAGCGGAGACGCAAACACCTGGTCACCGCCTCATCCAAAGCCTGGAGACGAAGGGTGGAAGGAATTGCTGTATGCGATTTGGTTGAACCAAAGCAGAGAACGTATCATGAGTGATAGCTGCCAGGTGGAAGATTGCTTTCAGTTTGATTCCAAGCAGCGCGCATCAGCACAGAACGTGTGCGGCTTGGAATATCGTGGAACCATCTTACATTTTTTTAAAGCCATTGAACATCAACTCCAGAAGTACGGATCTAGGAGATGCTAGGAACTCAATTTTTTTCCGAAAGACAAGAACACCAACCATGCGTTCCAAAGGGGGCATTTTGCTTGGCAGTGTATAGTGCCGAGATACAGGACTAGCTTCACAATCTTCAGTTCATTCGGGTGTGCAATGCAGAAGACCCTGGTCTCCATGCACTCACAGAGAGAGAGAGAGAGAGAGACCGTGAAGAACTCACACGTTTGGGTGAACGAGCTTCGACATGTTTTTGGGATTCTGAGTGGTTCCCGAGGTCTACGCGCGCATACAGCTGGTCGGACTTCCTTCAGGAGACTACTTCGGTCAGTTTCCACTTGTTCTTCAACGTTCAAACTTTACGTCTGACTGCGGTTGATCCAGCCATGTCACTGGTCTTAAATGGCGAGAAATGTATAGACATGTTGTTTTCTTTGATCAGGTGGTCAGCAGACCATGTGTGGAGGGATGATGATGGGACTCGATTTGGAAACCGTGTGGGTCTGTGGTCAGGCCTGTTTTCTCTCGTGGCCACAGCCCTCCAGGATAGGCCCATCATGGCGAATCCTTCTGAGCCTGACTCTCGTGACAAATGTTTTCCAGAATTGAGCTCGGCTGGGTTGCGTCACGTCAGGAGATAGGCTAGGCTTTGTCACTTTTTACACAGGTTGTGCTTTTTGAACCGTGCTCAGCTGCACATAGAGTAGCTGCCTAGGGAAATCAATGGAAATCCAATGCAGGCCTCAGCTTTAGCGAACCTGCTGTTGATTGAACGCTATGTCGAGCCTTTCTTAGCACTGTTGCTCAGTTGCCAATACTATAAGATCCCTATACATATATCCCTATGCTGCTGCAGACTTCTGTCGCATGTCAGAATTTACATGCGCAACTTGTTAATTGCCTGCCTGCATCATAGATTGATGCATGGAAACGCGCAAAGGCGTCAACAGCTTGTGCACAGCTGCTAGATTGATGCTAAAAGATCTCTTGTGGGTGTTTCGGCCTCCCCGTTCCCTCCTAGTTGTAGGTGAGTCACAGCTTGCATGCAGAAGGTGTTTGTCCCAAGAATAAGTATATTGTGTTCGTGAACCACAATCGGCTGTGCTTCCAAGTTTGTACCAAGTTGCTTGATTCGCGAAGCGATTCTTCTTACTTGAAAGATTTAGCTTAGGCCCCCGTCAATGTCAGGTTGCAGATCGCCGTAGCATTCCCGCATTTGTTGGCCTATCCCTCTTCGAGGGTATATAGTACTGTGGCAACAAAGGATGAACAACATGTCAAGTAATTCAGTGCAACATGTTTTGAAGATGTCCACTACTTGATATAAAGAAGGAAGCAAAACAGCAGAATTCATCAACCCACAAAGCCAGCCAAATCGAACGTGTGGGATCCACATCCAGTCGAGCGGCGCAATGTCTGATGATGGAGAGGCTGGTCGCACAGCACGGTCTCCCGTTGCGAGGAGCCATTGATGCCCGGTCGCATGGCATACCGGTGATTTGCGTGAAGTTGCAAGGTGGGCGCCTAGTGATTGGATAAGCTGGGAGAGTAATGCATTTTCGTCAGGACGTGAGCAAGGTATCCTTCCTAACTCCCTCCAATATAGATTCGGATTGTCGTTTTGATGGTGTATACCCCTAGCCATTTTGCCTTGAATTTATGGCACGCTGGCAGCCAGGCACTACAATCTCCAACAGCCATTCTCGATGAGCTTTTGGCACAGGACCCATTTCATTGGGACGCATTTGATTGGTGTTCGTACTGGAAACTGCCATATACTGCCATCCAAGTATAAGTACCCTGCTTTGATGTACAAGACACGTCCAATCGAACAACTATATACATATATATATATGTGTGTGTTTTGATTTAATTTTTCCGTTCCATGCGTTGTGTTGACTTTACTCATGTTGCCTCGATGGGCCCCCGGCTGGCCGCAACCGTGCGTGTGCATTGGAATGTCATTTGGGTAGCGCATCGGAGTTCTATGAAAGGCCTCGTTGTTGACGCTCATATTGATCAAGAACATAATTCAAGAACAGCATGTCATCCAGAGCATGCAAGTATTGTCAATGGGCCCAATCATTCTGAATCGAGATTGAGAGGTATGAGTACGAGGCAACGCCATTGCTTCAGTTCTCGGAATCGTTGGTGCTGCTGCATTTCAGAAGCATCAGATGGTTTTAGAAAGAATGATTTTCCCACAATTCATTTCACAGGAGGAGTGCGTCATCCTGAGCCCTGTTTGTCATGCCTGGAGCTTATTTGTGTAGCTTGGGCTCGCCATTCAAAAGCAAACACTAGATGGGGAATTGGAAAATATATAGTGAAGGCAAGACAATGGCTTCGCGGCTTCGTCCTATATTTGGGTTGACTTTTTGCATGTGGCTTATATGCATGTCGAATGCCCTTTGTATGTATGGCCTTCGCGGAAAAGGGTCCAGTGGTGCCACGGCACTTGACAGAGAATCGAGCAGAGTGTTCAACGCCATTCCGAGCCGCACTAGGGTTCAGACGTTTGGCCGGACACGGACAGCGAGGCGCTTTTGTGTTGAGATTAGAGCCTTTTGAGATGAGAACACCAGCTTGTAGCCTCCAAGCGCTTATGGCCTCCAACCTAATGGCGATGGCCTCCAACCTAGGTTACGGCAAGAGCCTTTTGTTAGAGCTGACAAGTCTTGTCCAAGCCTGGAGCATTTTTGCACATCCGCTTGTGGCAACTGTTAGCACGGGCCCTTGAGTCCTATCTCCAAGCAGATCGCAGATCTGTGCGGGGAGCTGGAATCCTGTCAAAGGCTCAGAAAGGAAACCAAAGCGAAATCGAGGAGCGGCCTTTGCAATTTCATCCTTTTGTGCCCGATTGTTTGATGTGGGGGATTTGTGATCTCACTTGACATATCTTGATATATGTACCCGTATGCGTTTGCTGCTGAATGCCTTTGGTATCCTGTGGTTCTAGGCTTTAGTATAGCATGTTGAACTTTCACTGGTTGCCATAGCCACAGTGCCAATGACACTCCCGCCATGGGAGATGTGTCCGATTTCGACTTGTCTCGGCTGGACCTGCCGCAGGTGCCGTTCCTATCATGAGTCCTCCTAGTACGGAAGATGTTGATCATAGTGTTTATATCGTTGTTTCATGTCTACGCTGTTTGTTTTTGCGCAGCATTGTACTGAATTGATCTGAATTGTGTTGATTAATCATGCTATGTAACGTTATGTAATTATATAGTTAAATTAAATTTGGTGATTAAATTGTTTGTAATTACATCAACTCAAATTCATCCATTCTAATGCTGTATCCGTCGCAGGCCATCATCGAAGCGTACAGAACGCGGGGGATTCGATCTTTCTACAGCTGGCAAGCTGAGTGCTTAAAGTCTCCAGGAGAAATCGTGCTTGGGAAATCTCAGTGGGAGAAGAATGTGCGGTATGCAGTTGTTCATAACGGGGTACTTAAAACCTGCACTTTTGGTAATTTGCATTGCGAACTCCGGAATCTAATCTTCTTGTTCCCAATGGACTCAACTTGCGATGGCCTCCACCTAATAGCGTCCTTGCTACTAGTAGCTTTTGTTCCTAGTACCCCCTGACTTCCTTGGACCATTTCCTTGGACTGGACTCTTCCCAGGAGTTCAAGAGGGGCGGAGCTTAGTCTACTGTGCACCTACCAGCGGTGGGAAGACATTGGTGAGTGAAGTCTTGATGTTGCAACGGCTGTTTCGCTTGCGGAAGCGAGCAATCTTCGTTTTGCCTTATGCACCTCGATCAGAAGACAGTGCAAGCGTAAAGGTGATCCAATGAGTTTCATCATGACAGCTGTTTGTTCAATTCCGCTGCTTCAAAGGTTGACCCAGTGGCATTGAGAGTGGCAGGTTTACTGACTTCACCGAGGTAAGTGTGGTCACTGAAAAGGCGTCGTTTTTGCAGAGCCTTTGCAAATCGACAGGCGCTGGAGGATGGGGCACACCAATCATGTCACATATATGTCGTATATAATTATATAATTGTATATTTAATATACATATATGATCATATATGTGTATATATTGAGCACATTCATGCCATATGTTCATCCTTGCGTCATCCTGGATGTTGCCGCTCCATTGACTCCACTGCTCGCTTCACTCCCGCCGAACAAACCGACTTGCTTCACTGCAGCTGTCATCACCTCATCACCTCGCCAGGTGTTTTGGTTCAGGCATTCTTCGGTGGCAGTTCCTCGAGCATCAAGGAGAAAACCGAGCATCGGGGCGATGCGGGGTGCTGAAGTTCCTATGATCAGCAGGAGAAAAGCTACACTTTCACACCATCGCAGGATCCCTTCGACATCGCAGTTTGCACTCTGGAAAAAGCCAATGCATTGATCAATCATTTGGTTGAAGAAGGCGCCAAGTGTGTGTGTGTTTGTGTGAGTGTGTGTGTGTTTGTGTTTGTGTGTGTGCGCAAGCTGGTCTCACCCGCTGTGACGCTTCCTTGCTTTGAGGCCAGCTATGCAAAATGCTTGGGACATTGGTTGTGGATGAACTTCACTTGGTGGGAGATGCATCCAGAGGATACCTGTTGGAGATTTTCCTCAGCAAGGCTGGACGGATTCAACTCAGGATGGTACTCCAGCATCATGCAGAGTCCTTGGCAGGTCTTGTTCTTGGCGCCGGAAATTCAGGCGCTTTGAAGAGGAAACTGCGGGGAGTTCCATGAAGAAACATGGGCCAGTATGATGTGTATATATATAATATCCATGCATGCAGGGTGTGGTGGTGTGGGAAAGCTAACGCACTCTTTTGCGGAGGTCTTGGGTTTGAGTGCAACTCTGCCAAATGTGGAGGACATTGCAACATGGCAACTTGGCCTCGACGTCGGTGGGAGTCCCCCAGAGCCACACCAAAACATATTTGTCTATATTTGTTTATCATATGCAGAGACTTATCCTCAAGTGAATCAATATGATAGGACCTAGACACCGTTCCCTCAAAAATGTACGAGTGTTTGATCCTTTCTGTGAACTTTGTCAACTACTTATGTTCATTTATGTTCATTTATGTTTGGTATTCTATTCAAGATGAAGATGACTGTAGCTGCTGGCCAGACCAGCAAGCCAAAGTCATTGGCCTGGTGTCCTCAGCATGAAAGTTCGAGGTTGAATGCTGCCTTATATCGGACAGTGTATCGACCAGTTCCGCTCCAAGAATACATTTTGTGCGGACACGACCTTTTGAACCCAGATGGCTCTCAGGCAGGAAAACATGGCAGAGGTTTCCAGTATTTGCCAGGAATTGAATGTTTTTCGCAACGTAATTGTACTTATTCTTAGATTCCAGGCTGATTGAGAAGATTCAGCTTTGAACATGCCTTGACAACATATTTGAGCAGTTCAAACCATCAGCTTTCAGTGTTTGGAACTTGAGTCGCACTACCGACTGACCAATTTGTTCCCATCTTGATTGCACGACACGAACTTGAACAGATGAGCTCCCGGACTGTGCGTAGTGTCATTCCATCTTCCAAGTTCGGCTTGGACTTGGCCAGGTTCGACAACTGTCTTTTGATGGTTTGAATGACAAGGACGAGCTGGTCGCAGCTACATGGGAGGTGACCAGAGAGCATCACAGTGTGCTGATCTTTTGCTCGTCCAGAGCGTTTTGGCTGCAAAGAAAGCGCGTGAAGCATGTCACTGAGTTCATTTCTCCTCCCAAGCGAAGAAGCCCAGCTTGTTCAGGTGAAATGTGAACGAGCAGCTGAACTCCTAGCAGTGAAGCTGCCTCAACAGGCTCGACCGCAAAGAGAGCTCCTGGTGAAGCAGATGCAGCAGCAAATAGGCAAGACGTGGGACACGAAGCAAAGCAGCAATCATATTAATCTTGGCTAATATGTAATTATATATACTGTATAATACTATATAAATATATTGTTCAAATCTGATCTCCTGCTTGGTGTTCATAGTACGTCGATGTTGTCATAGAGATTTGACCTTTGGTTTCTCATCCTCCGTTCACACCACCCATCCCATCCTTCAGGTGGCGCAGATCCAACTCTGGAAAAAACCATTCCAGCGGGAGTCGCGTTCCACCACAGTGGTTTGACGACAGAGGAGAGGAACCTCGTTGAGCGGGGGTACAGGGATGGCCACATCAATGTGATTTGTGCGACCTCTACACTTGCAGCTGGTGTAAATCTTCCCGCTCGCAGGGTTGTTTTTCAGACACCCTTCATGGGAAATCAGCTACTGGATGCAACACAGTATAAACAGATGGCTGGACGTGCGGGGCGAGCAGGACAAGGGAGTGTCGGAGAGTCAATCATAATAGCACCAGCAGCCACCAGAAAGCAGGTCATGGAATTGGTGCAGCAGCAGCTTCCGCGGGTTGCAAGTTGCTTGCGAAACGAAGCTAGAGGATTGAAGCGCTTGTTGCTTGAAGTCCTTTGCATTGTACCACAGCTAGGCGCCGGAGAGGACCTAGGGAGGGCAGTACTGCACCGACGTGTTTGATGCAAGTGAGTGAGTAAGTATTAAACTCCCAGTCCCACAGCACAGCCAGATACTGTGGGGGCAGCCAATGGTTCTGTGATGTTCTGTGAGATGTACGATTCCCGGTGAGGATTTGATTCGCTTCTGTTCAAGCACTCTCCTGATGACACAGAAAGCGCCGGCAGATGAGTCATTGGATCCGGCGCAGCGCTATCCAGAAATTGCTGATGCCGTGAAGTGGCTTCTTGCACATGACATGGCTCGCCTGGACGAGCGATCGAACGCTTACCGGGCCACTCCCTTGGGTCATGCCGTTTGCTCTTCGGGCCTTGAACCTCAACAAGGGTAGCTTGAAAGCAACATGGTTTCATGGTTTCTTTTGAGACATACTGTGGAGATCTGTGGAGAAAGGTTGGGTCTAGTAACTAGAGGCGAAATCAGACCAGTCCTGTGTCCTTTCATTGCCTTTCTTGTCGATTGCCCACGAGACAAGGCATCTTCTGTTTCAAGAGTTGCAGCAAGCTCGTAGCTGCATCTCTTTGGACACCGATTTGCACGTTTGTTACTTGGTGACGCCAGACAGCCTGACAGCTGTCGATTGGAACATCTTCAAGAAAGTCTTGTGCCACCTGTCCTCTGCTGAACGAAGGGTTGCCCAAAGGATTGCACAATGGGTAGTTGCATTTGGAACTTGAGCTTAGATAAAAGAGAAGAAGAAGCAGAAGCTGAGAGTCATCGAGTATTGATGAGCAAGTGATTTCAACCCAAGAAGAACATGTCGCTTCAACAGATTAAGTAAGCAACACTCTGAAGTGAGAGAAATTGATATGAATTGAGTTGAATTGTTCAAGGCATAACTAGAATGTCCAAACCCTGGAAGGATCAAGCTACGGCTTGACCTGGTCGACCAGGCGCAGTTCCAAGGGCGCTTGCCAAATAGCACCCTGCAGTCTGTGGATGGGCAGCGAGTCATGAGGCAAGAATGCCAACATTGCCCTGAGACAACATGGGCTCAAAACAGACACTGAGAGTGACACTGAGGTTTGCCCAACACAGATAAGACCCATGCATGTGAGGCAGACGTGTGCACGGGAGCACTGAGGACGACATCAACTTTCATAACATTTTTTGATTTGGACCGAACAATCGTGAATTGTGCTTGGTGGGTTCATTTCTCATTAAATTCTATTGAATTACTTAAATTATTGTTTCTAGTAGCTTTTTGCTCCTAGTAGTACGGCCAGGAGCCCCTGGTAGCTTCTTGTTACTAGTAGCGATGCCAGGAGCCCCTAGTAGCGTCCTTGCTCCTCCCCAAATCT